ACCTGTGACAGTGTGCATTGAACTCAGAGCCTGATCCTTCCAGCTCTTAGATTCAGTTCCCTGGTCTTGTATTAGCTTCAGTTTCCTGGTGAGTTTCCTTTACAATGGGAGCAAAAATAGGAATGCCTCGTAGCTCTGAGGTATTTGGTGAGCTAATAGCTATGAAGTACACCATGCCTGATGTACACCATTCACTTAATAAATTATATTCATAAGTATAAATGTGAATTCAACCCCTGCAGAGAAATAGGATGTGGCTGCTAGCATGAGAGAGGTGAAACAGGAGCGAGGAGAGCAGACAGATAATTGTGTGTCTGACTGGCGAAGGATTTCACCAGCTTCCATTCAGAATTGTCTTGCATCTTCGTTCCAAAGATGCAGAGTGTAGGACAATGCTTCTTAATTCTCAAGTCAGAGGGCACTCGCATGGCCTAATGCACCACCAACCCAAAGATACGAGGTTCGAATCTACCAGCTGCTCCTCAGGAGACGGATGGGCAGTTTCCTCCTGGGCAATTTATAGCCTCTGAAAACCTGGGACAGCTGTGAGTTGGTTCCTGTGAAGTTCATCAGTGAATAACTCAAGTCAAAGCATTAAGTAGCGTTTTGAATATTTAGCGATAAAAGCCATTGTGTTTTGAGAGAAGCAGAAGGTGACAAGATGGCTTTGTTTGTTTGTTTTAAGGATTGACATGTATGTGGAAGGCACACTGGATCTTCTGGAAATGATTATCATGCATCCTTTCTTAAAACCAGACGATAAAGAAAAGGATGTTGTTGGCATGACCCAGAAGGCTATACTCAGATACTTTCCTGTGTTTGAAAAGGTAGGTAGTAGAAAAAAATTAAGTACATGGCATAGCAAGACCCCAAGGGACCGACCGCAAACCCTCCTTCCAGACTGATCTCCCAGGACTAAAGGAGCCCCCAGCACAGGTGGATGTCTTGGAGCCCCTCATGTTTCACTACTTGTTAATTGCCATTGAGTCACTTGCAACTCATAGCAACTGACTCTAGGTACAACAGCTCTGACCCCTGCCCTATCCTGTGCCAACCTTATTGTCTCTGACACACCTACCTCCATTACCCCAGTCACTGAATCAATCCATCTATCTCATCAAGGGTCTTCCTTTCTTTCACTGTCCCCCCACCCTTCCTATAATGATGTCCCTCTCCAAGGACCGGTCATCCTTGTAGTATGTCCAAAGTATGCCACACGAAGCTTGAGAATCCTTGTCTCCAAGGAGCAGCCCAGTTTCATCCTCTCCAGGATGAATCTGTTTGTTTTCCTGGCAGTCTATGGTATAGTCAACACTCTTCTCCAGCACCACAGCTCAAAGGCATCAATTCTTCTATCATCCCTAGTCATTGTCCAGCTCTCTGATGCATAACAAGTAATTGCAAAGACTATGGCCTGGATCAGGTGCACCTTAGTCTCTAGACTGATGTCATTGCTCTCAGTACTCTGTAGAGGTCTCTGACAGCCGACTTTCCCAATGCAATTTGTCTCTTGATTTCCTGACTGCTGGTAACAAGAGTTTGGACTGTGGCTCCAAGTAAACGAAAACTGTTAACAATCTCAATCTCTTTACCAACAATAATGATAGGCTTCACTAGTACCATATTATTCAGAAGTTCTGGAAAGAGCAGGGACTCAGACTATTCATGCACCATTGTTCTTGCGTTCACCAAGTGCCCAGTTTGTATAAGAGACAGAAAAACCCAGAAACATTGGACCAACAGTGGTTACACAGCAATTACGCACTAGATGTTCTACTGATAACTGGCTGTGAAGAATTATTTCAGTGCTGCTTTTCTTTGCTATGCACATCTCATTTTCTGTTTCCTTTCTCCCTTCTTTTTATAAAAGCCTTTTCCAATATTTTTTTTTTCACTTGGGAAGCTTTCTCCCCATAACTCCTCTTTTTTAAATCTTTCAATTAAACAATAAAAGAGGAAAATACGAAACTATGGAAAAGCCTATTTGGCAAACTTCCTCTGATAAAGTTCATAGAACTGGATTTTAAAGGGGAAGTAGTCTCTGGGTTTTTTCCATATTTCTTTTGCTGGGACCTTTTCCAGGACAGCAATCTAAGTACAAAATACAATAACATGGACATATGGTATAAAAAGGCATGGATCACTAGGTGTCTTGGTGACAAGTCTCTGTATCTCTTTCATGTCAAGACTCCTAACATAACACCTCCAAGATAAAAATGGTTACCTCGTTTTTGCAGACAATGACAGAGAATCATGGGGAGATTGTGTTACGCGTGTGTTCAAAGTAACATGGCTTGAAAGTACAGAGCCAGGAGTAGAACTCTAATTCTGCTGTTCCGCTGGACTCATTTTACTGTTCCTTTATGGTTCTAAGAGCTGCTTTGAACCTGGAGTAACTTAGAGTTCCTGGGAGGCACCTAGACATGCACAGCTGAACTCATTTTGCTGCGCTTCTCCGGCTTCTCTCCCTATATTGGACTTGAGTAGTGCTGAGAGTTCTTGTGAGGCAGCCATGCGTAGACGCATGATACATGAAAATACACACACACACACACACACACACACACACACACACACAC